GTGCTCTGTTCCTTTTTTCCAGTCTTTATCTCTTCGCTTTTAAGATTCAGAATTTTTGTTGACATATCTTCTAACTCAGAGATTCTTTCCTCAGTCATGTGCAATTTCCTGATGAGCCCATCTGAGGCATTCTTCACTTCTGTAACTCTATTCTGGATCTCCATCATTTCTTTTTTATTCTTTAGAATTTCTCTCTCTCTATTATCCATCTTTTCTTGTATGTTATCTACTTTTCACATTAAAGCCCTCAGCATATTAATCATAGTTTTAAAAAGAATTCCTAGCCTGGTAATTCTAACATCCTTGCCATACCTGACTCTGGTCCTGATGGTTGTTTGGTTTTTCAGTCTGTGTTTTGCCTTTTAGTAAGCCTTGTAATTGTTGAGAGGTGAACGTGATGTACTGGGTGAAGGGAATTGTGGTAGACAGGCCTTTAGTAATACAGTGGTAAGGTGTGGGGGAAGGGGAAGCATTCTACAGACCTGTGACTAGGTCTCAGCTTTCTAGCTAAGTCTGTGCCCCTGGACTACGAACTTCACCAATGCTTCTAAAAGTTTTTGTTTTGTTTTTTGCCCAGCTTCTCAGGGTTTTTTTGTTTGTTTTAGGTAGGATATGATGATGCAAGTTGGGTATTTCCCTTCTCCATAGCATGGAAAGCTAGAGCCTGATAGAATCAAGTATTTCCTTTGCCTCGGATCAGTAAGGCTCTGATAAAACCCCTGTAGGTTAGGCTCGGATAAAATAATTTCTCCTGAAGGTAGGTCTTGTTAAGAGGAGTACAGCGCTCAAGTGTCTTTCACAGTGGTTCCTTTCCCCTTCCCCTTGCTAAAGGCAGGAGAGGATTTTTCTCTGATATTTACTGTGAGAACTTGGTACAGCTCGTGGAGGTAAAACTCACAAAAGTGTGGCAGCACCCTAGTGACTGGGTCCCCTTAGAGTTTTATAATTTTCAGCTGTGCCCACACTGAGCCTCCAGCAATTTAGCAATTACAGTTCAGGTTTTCCTACCCAGCACTGGTTTCTATGGAGGTTTCTGCTTTGGGAAGTTGTGATTCTCGTATTCACCTGTCTGCCTCTCTAGTTTGGTGGGCCGCAGTTTGCCATGTGACCTCTCTTCTTTGATGGATCTAAAGAGTTGTTGGTTTTTCTGCTCAGCTTTTTACATCTTGTTAGGACCAAGTGGTCCTAACACTTGGACTTTGAAGCTCCTTACATACCAGACTGGAAACCAGAAACCAACAATGAAAATCAAGGTGTTACTTTCTACCAAGAAAGAGTATTCAAGAGAGCAGTGTTTAGAAATATCTTGGGAATTGTTTTTTAACAATAGAAATATTTAAAACCCTATAATAACATCATGTAACATAGGATAATTATAAAATATGACTGAGGAAATAAAAGAGGCTTTATAAAATTGAGAGATGTTCCTAGATGAGAATAGTCAATATTATAAAAATTTGAATTTCCCCAAATCAGTTTGATTAGAACTGCAGATAGTTGATATAATTGTAATAAATGTTTCAAAGGGTGATAAAAGTTTTCTGAAGTTAATGTGGGAGAATTATTGGAGCTTTGAATTACTCTCGTAAAATGTTTCATGAGTTACATAATTAAAATATAGTTACTATTAAAAAAAATAGGTCAGTGGGGAAAAAAACAAAACATCCCAGCCAGAAGAAAATCCAATATGTAAGTATATGAGAAGTTTCATCTGTGACATTTCCAGTCCATAAAGACAGTCTATTCTATTCGTGAACAATTCTGAGACACTTAGTTAGCTCTTTGAAAAAAACATTCTGTATCTGATACAAGTACCAAAATAAATTCCAAATTTATTAAATATTTAAATATTATATTCTCCACTGAACATATATATGGATATTTATATTGTTGTTTGAGAAGCCCTAAGCAGATTATCATAGGAAGAAATCATAAGAGAAAAATTTAATAGATACTACTACATGGAAAAAGCATAAAAAAGTACAGTACCAAAAAAAAAGAGTTGTAAATTGATACTATTTAGGCAAATGGCATATTGGGGAAAATAGTAGTAGTATCTGACAAAGCCAATAGCTAATGGTCCCTCTTCAATCTAAAGAACTCTTACAAATCTTATAAATATGAAACAGATGAAGACTTCTATGGAAAATGCATACTCGAGGTCAACAAGGAATTAACAATGGATGACATAAATAGACTATAAATCTAGAAGAGGGGCTGGCCCGGTGGTATAGTGGTTGGGTTCGCATGCTCCACTTTGGCAGCCTGGAGTCCATGGGTTCAAATCCTGTAAACAGACCTGCACACCACTTGTCAAGCCATGCTGTGGTGGCATCCCACATACAAAAAAACAGAGGAAGATTGGCATGGATGTTAGCTTGGGGACAATCTTCCTCACACACACAAAAAAATTAGAAGGTTATTGTGGACAAAAAACAAAACACTTTTGTATTCTTCTTATAGTATAAATGAATTTTTTGATGATTATTTGGTAGTATTTATCAAAACCGCAAAGTCCCAACTCAGTATTATCTTTCTAATGTTTTTAAATTTTAACTATAAGAAATTATTCAACCAAAATTAACTTTAACTGCAGAATTTATCCTAAGGAAATAATCAAGAGATGGGTGCAAACCTGTATAAACAGATACTTATTCAAGTGTTATTATAATAGTAATAAATTAGAAACACAATATCGTACAATAGAAACACAGTCCATCCACATATGAAACATCATGTGACCAATAGAAAGCATGTTTATCTGGGGGTAAATGTGCTACAAAGCATCTGATTCTGCTTTTTGTAAAGCAAGCAATCATACAAAATATTTGACTGATAAAAATAGATACAAAATGAGCATTCATTGGTTACTTCTGCGTGATGGAATTACAGGTGAATTTGGTTATTTACTTTGTATTTTTCTGATTGTGAATTAGTTGCAAAATCCGAAAAGAAATGATTTTTTAAATTACGTTAAACTCTGGTGATTATTGATGAAAGTTTTTTTCTCCTTATCAAGAAAATTTGCCACTGATTTAGATAAATAGAAATTTGATTTATAGTTTCCACTTATTTCTTGCTTGCAGTGTGGCTTATCTGGAATCCATGTTGTTAACTTAATGAGACAGTAATCTCGCTGTAGCTGTAGAAATCCTTTCAAGTTCTGACTTCTCTCAGATCAGCTATTGGTCTAGCTCAAATGCCAAGTCTTTGAAGGTATATGAGATGTGGCATTTAGTCCTCCAGGGGGTCCCTTCCTTTCTCTGTCTGCTGAGCCATTTTTATCATTCGACCCTTTGTCTTTCCCTGACTTGAAATACCTCCCTCAGGACCACCAGGCTGGTGATGGATGTCTGCTGAGCAGTGCTGCTGCAGGGATGGCAGGCCAGGTTGATTCCCGACAACATCTCTTCCTCCTGCAGCTCTGACGGACTCGGCAGCCCTATGGAGGCATTCATTTTAGGGCTGCTCTGGTGAAGGGGAGCTGAGCTGTGTGGCCGCAGAGCCCCCTTTATTCTTAGGGGAGGTTACCACTGCTGGGCCTCCGTTGCTTCGTTAGTTCTCTCAGCAAATAGTTATTAAGCCCCGGTCAAAGGAAGCGCTTCTGAGACTGTGGGGGACAGACAGGTAAGATCCTTCAGCTCCTGGGAGGTACTCCTCTGCAATTGGAAGTTCAACACTTTCCTAAGAGTTAGATGAGAATTCCGTGTGACATTGTGTCTGGCACCTAGACTGCTCTCAGCCGGTGTTAATTCATTTCTCCCCTTTCTTCCTTCTCTGAAACTGGACTAAACGTAGCACTGACTCATCTGTGCTTAAGGCTCTCCAGAGAGCAGATTTCCCCTTAACTCTGTACCTTGCTTCTATTGCCTTGTCTGCAAGAACTCTTCCAGGATGTTCCCGGCAATGGCTTGCCTGTCAAGGATCCTGGAAAGGGAAACAGATTGCTCCTCACGTCCCAGCACTCTCACTGAGAATTGGCTAATTGGCAGCTGGAGGGGCTGAGGGCTGTGGGTGGGGGCAGAATGCTTGAGGTGCCGTGAAACAGGTCTTCCTGAAGTGTGTGGTTCCTGCTTCAGTTCGTTCAGCATCTGGAGCGGCTTTCTCGTGCTGTTCCCATTTTCCCTCAACCCGAATATTACAGATGCTTCTCTCCTCAACTAAGCGTCTCTTTAAAGATCTCGTTGAGGCTACCAAACAGGGAGGAACTTTAGAGATCATGTGACTTGCACAAACAAATTCAGGGACATGACATGCTCAAAAATATGGTTAGTGACAGAGTCTACATCCTGCTCAAAATGTACTTTTATTGTACCTTGCTATAGATGTCGCTTTGGAACTGAAAACTGTTCTCTGAGAACATGTTTCAGATTCAAATGCGGCATTAGGTCACTGCCCCCCATCCCGTGGAGGGCTGAATGGCGAAGGACTGTTAACACTGTGAGACTGTGTGTGTTGGAGGGTGAATCCAGGTTTTGCCAAGTTTTGAACCAGCAGTCCTGCCCACCTGTCTTATCCACCTTCCCCCAAATTGGCATGTGTCTGTCTCTTTCCCTTATGCTGTGGGCAACCAGTCAGTACTGAGAATGAAGGAGAGCCAAGCAATAGATGATCAAAGGCAAGAAAGGGCAGAACGAGGAGAGAAGGAGCACAGTTTGTACGTGTAGGTCGCTTCAGAGTGGTGGCACGAGCCGCAGAGATGTACGGAAGTAATTTGCACATCACTCCCCCACACCAGCTTTCCTAACTCTCCATGGAGCCCATCTGTTCACATCCGTGGGGAAACTACTGGCATAGGTGTTCTTTTCACACTTACTCATTCCCTAGAGCTGTGGTTGGGAAACACGGAAATGTCCATGGGCAAAGCTTGTACTATGTCAAGTATTCTTAAAAATGAGCTTAAACAATGATTAAGGCTCTTGTCTGATATCTAGACTCCTGCATTAGCTACTCTCTATTGTTTTATGTTTTATCTTAGTTGTGTGTTTTACCTTCCACAGGACCAGCTCTCGGCTGACATGTACAGTTTTGTGGCCAAAGAAATTGACTATGCAAACTACTTTCAAACGGTAAGGGTCCAGAAAGGTGAGACTGCTTAAAGTCTGTTTGCAAGAGTATGGTGTGGACAGGAAGGAATGTGAGCATGGAACTGAGGGCCCCTTGGTTGAGCATGTCACAGAAAAGAGTGGGGCTTTGACTGTTCTGCTTGTGACTAAATCTTGCCTTCTATTTCTCCACTTAAGCCCATTTATGAAGATTGTTGGAACTCCGTGATCTATGGGAGCAGTTCTCACCAGGGGTCTTTGTCCCTTCTTCCAGCAGACATTTGGCGATGTCTGGAGACATTTTTGGCTGTCACCATGGGGAGGAGGTGCTACTGGCCTCTAGTGGATAGAGGTCAGGGATGCTGTTACACATCCCACAGTGCACAGGACAGCCCCCATAACACAGGGTTATCCAGCCCAAAATGTCAGTAGGGCCAAGGCTGAGGAACCCTGGTCTATCATAAACGAGGAGCTTGGGAAGAAGAACCAGTAGATAACCCCATCCCCAGTACATATTTGTTTTCAATCTAGATTTTTGCCAAAGATGATGACAAGTAGATAAAGGATCACTGATGTGGCCTGTCTGCCTGTGTCTCGTCAATAAGAGCAGATTTAGAGAGTAGAGAAACAGGATCTGAGTTATCCATACTTAAATAATCTGGTCCGAATAATTAGGACCCTGGCTCTTTACCAGGGTAAATGCAAGGCAAGTCGAAAAAAACTTAAGAGAAAAAAATAAAAAAATACAGTTAAGCTCACCTGCTTTTAAAGTTGCGAACAAAACTCAAAACTAAAAGCTCTTCTTTGTGGTCACAGAAGTGGTGGAATGATAAGGAAGGAAAGTAAAGAGAAGAAAAAGGAGGAGAAATCCTGAGAAGTTTAAAATGCTTTGATGAGTGTAATAGACTGGCTGTGGGCTGTATATTAACAGTCTTCCCACATTTTCATCAGGAGTTCAGAGGAGCGCCTTCTACCCTGAAAAAGAGCTGATATGCATTCCTTCCAACTTGGAAGGTTTATTTTAAAATAGTAATATCTTTTAAGTGTATTCCATTGGTTTTATTTGTGGAGATAATATTTAATTTTAGGCTTTCCAAAACTAATGAAATTGTTGGCATTCCAAGCTTTATTAGAATTGCCTAATTGTCATTTGTATACCATTCATTTCAATGTTCTGATTTTCAAAAAAAATTCTGCTTTAGTTTTACTCAGGGGAGGTAGTATCCACCCTCCACACAGACTTCTGAACAGAGTGATTCCCTTCCCTCCCCTCATACATGCCTGATTTTGGGAGGGACGGGGGCAGGGAGATTGAGAAAGTAAATGAAGTAACCATTGGTCATGGTTTTCATCTGCTCTCATCGACATTTCAGCAGCTTTTTAGTAGTAGGATGGTCAGAAGAGAACGTCTTGAAGGAATTTGTTGTTTGGCCTGGGTCACTGTAACCAAAGCAATTTTACCTCCCAAGGTACTTGAAGAGGGTTGTGGATCCAGCCACACGTTTTCTGATCAGTTATATATTAAGCTCATTTTGCAGAAACCAAGATGCAACAGGCTAATGGCATTTAGCTCTATCTTATAGGCAAATGGATTTCTAAGTGTGTTTTCCATTTACGTTTTCCCATTGCTGTGCTTCTCTTTGTTGCCTTTTGCTTTGACGTAGGGGTGTTCAGGAAGGGAGGGTGGCAGTGAGGGCAAGCTCTCTAAGGCAGGCTCCGGCTCTGGGGTGGTCCCCCGTTCCTCTGTGATTCTCCTGCCTCCCGAATTTCCACTTGTGGTCACTCCTTTGCTACACAGGCTAAGGAGGAAGCATGCCCCTCATTTTAGGTGGATTGAGGAGGGAGCAGGGGACTTCCCCTTCCTCCCAGTGAGTAAGGCAGCACTTTGTGCAGGGCGCCCCCTGTGGCCCAGCAGCCTGTGCTGCCCAGCCTCTGGCAAAGAGTAATGCCTGCCCTTGTGTTTTCTCAGCTAATAGAAGTGCAAGCTGAATACCACAGGAAGTCATTGACACTCTTGCAGGCTGTGTTGCCTCAGATAAAAGCACAACAGGGTAAGTGCAAACCTTCCTTGGGTGGGGCTTGGGGGGCCTGCTTGTCTTCCCAGATGAGACCCATCCCCTGTGCTTTGCTCCCGCTTACGCTGTCCCCAACAGGGGAACATTTAGATGAAGTGCTAGAACTTCATGACCTAGTGTCTTGATCCAGTTGCAGTGATGCAAAGCACGGGCACACACACCGTCCCCACGAGGGGATGAGTCGGGGGGTGTGCAGGGCTGTGTGTGGAGGTTCATGTGAAGCCCAGCAGCTCTGGACGCAGCTGATTAGCCATCCACCTTGCCCAGTCCTCTCTGTCATCCCCTAAACCACAAGGATGGAGACTCAGCTGGGCCTCCATGTCTTTCGTAATCTTAGGGGAATCTGTGTGACCAGAGGACAGAAATAAACCAGTATGAGTGATCTTCACTAACTGCTGACTGACCCCTTTCTTGCTCTGCCCCTTCAGAGGCCTGGGTAGAGAAGCCTTCCTTCGGGAAGCCCCTGGAGGAGCATCTCATGATCAGCGGTCGGGAGATCGCCTTTCCCATTGAGGCTTGCGTGACGATGCTGCTTGAATGTGGGATGCAGGAGGAGGTAGGTCTGGGCACAGGCAAACCAGCCTGAGCAGGTCTCCTCTTCCATTAGACAGAGCCTACAGGAACTTCTCCTCTTCTGTTATCATCACCAACCCAGCCCCCAGAAACCCAAACATATTAAGATATGGTACAGCCCTCTGTTCTGCAGAACACTAGTCCTGCTCTATCCCATGAGTCTTCACTTTACAGGGAGAGTGGAGGATTGTGGGAGACTGGTACCACTGGCCATGAGGAACTTACAGCCATACTCCAGCCATTCTTTCTTCATAGTTAACAAGATTTGGGCATTCCTTTTCTTCTTCTTCTTCTTCTTCTCCTCCTCTTCCTCCTCCAGCCCCATCCTCTCCCCCCCTTTTTCCTCTTGTCTCCCTCTCCCTCCTCTTATTCTTTTTCTTCCTCTGCCCCTCCCCCCTCCCTCCTGCACCCCCCCTTCTTCCCTGATTTAAAAAATAGACCTGTAAACCTTTTTGATCATAACTCTTTTATAGAGATCCTGAAAATATGATTGATAGAGACATTAGAAAGTACTTTTTAAGAGCCACATGTGAAAAAGGTCTAGGGGAGATTGGCGACCATTGCTTTATTGCTGTGTAAATCATTTCCTGGGAGACAGACCTCATCTTTGGTTTCTTATATAGGCTATTTAAAAATCTTTACTCCATCTTCCTTTGATCCGATCAGCCAATCAATATTTATTTAGGGCATGCTATGCATTTATTACTGAGCAAAGTATAAAAGAGTGAGATAGAGACTTATGAGCTTGTTGTGGGAGATGAGTCTAGCCTCTCTCAAACAAACCTTATTAATCCAAAACAGTCTGTAAGTCTTTAAGTAAGCACCAGGTCACATGGGGCAAACTGTGAGGGCTGCGGGAGAGAAGGAAGCCGATGAACAGTCAAATGGATGTGGGCTGCCCCCTGTACGCCAGGCCTGTTTCATGCTGGATGTGGAAAAGGAATGGGACTAAATGTTTTCTGACCACATTTTAAGTGCCAGGCGTTTTCGTGTATGTTATCAATTAAAATATGAGAAAGTCTCTTCAGTCCCTGAGGAAGAGTTTCACGGAGGGAAGTGAACTGGGCCTTTTCTTTCCCCATCAGTTTTTTTTTTTTGATTATGGAAAAACTGAAACATATGAAGATAAGATAATGATCCTCATCACCCAGCTTGTGGTCAATACTGTTTCATCTCTGCCTCCATTTCCTGCCCCCTGACCCCTGCCTTGGATGTTTTGAGGCCAATCTAAGACATTCTATCATCTCGTCTGTAATACTTCAGTATGTATCTCTGAAAGATAAGGAATGTTTTAAAATGTAACTCTATTATTATTTACAAAAAGTAAAAATAATTTGTTAGTGTCTTCAAATGTCTAATCAGCGTAGATTGCTTCTTGGAGAACAGAGACTCTGATGTCTCCCACTTGCCTTGTCTCCTGACCCTTCCCTCTGCCCCTTCTATGCCTTTCAGCCTCTTGCCAGACCTCACTCTCTCCCTTGTGTTTTCTACTTTTCATCAGCTCCTCTCCTTTACTAACAGATCAGCTCAGGTTTCCCCTAGCCTGGAAAAAAATGCCTTCTCTCAACCCAACTGCAGCCTCATCTTCCTTCCCTAGCTCTTTGATTTTGTTTCTCGTGCTACCCGATTCTTAATAATGCTCAGCATTGGCTGCCTCTGCGTCCTTACCACCGCTCACTTACTGCTCTTCTTCCTTCAGCATCACTTCTGCCCCCAGCCCTGGGCTAAGCATGCCCTCAGTGACCCCCCCAGGGACCCCCAGATGGCAAATCCCACGACTTGGTCCAGCCGCCTTGGCCACGTTGCAGCCTGTGCAGATACTAATGTGTCCGTCCTTGAAACCAGTCCCTCCCTCCCCGAGCTCCCTGGCTCCCCTTCTGCCCCTGTGAGTGGCATCGGGATTGTCTTTTCAGCACCACCATCCTAGCTATGGCCTGCACTCTCTCTGATCTTTCCTATGGTGTAGTCATCCTCTCTTAGTGCTTCGCCTCAACCTCAGTGAGGATTCAGGGTCCTCAGCCTCGTCTGGGCTCTGCTTCTGTGTTGGCTGCCATTTCTTCACCATTTCCATGCAGATTTTCCTCTAACACCCGAAAACTGGACTCACTGGCTATTTTAACAGTCCCCTCCTCCTCACGGTTTTTATACGTCACTCAATGCAGTAACCATCTCAGTTACATAATCAGAAATCTATGGGCTTCTATTTGACAATCCCACTTTCTTCTCCTTGGCATTGTCCATCACCAACTGCTATTGCTCTTCTTCCACAGCTGTGGCATGCTTTTTTGAGGACCTTACTCTTTTGATATGTGCTATAGCTTGTTCTCTTTGTCATAGCAGCCTTACTTATACACTCGTCCAAACGTGTGTACGGAGCTTCTTCACCTCTATGCCAGAGAGCTTGGGTCATGCATTTATCTGACATACCCTATTCTGAGAAGGGGGTTGGTGATCTTAACAGGCCAGAAACTCAGTATTCCGGACCAGGAACATTATCTTCCAAAGAAACTTGGAAATCTGAATGGCCACGAACAGTTAAAGGAGCAAGGAATGTTCTGCCAGCCTGCTTCTCAGACTGTTGGTCGCATCACAGAATGCAAGGAGCTGAGAAAGTGAAACAGAAGCAAAGAATCTTAAACCCATGTCTAACTTACCCGTGACTTGGGGATTCCTTTCGAGCTCTGACCTGCATTTTTCTCCCCTTCCACACACCCCTGTCCTCCTCTTCTCTTTCTCTTCAGGGCTCACTTTTTCTCTACAAGGTACAGTGGTTCACCTGGAAGAGGTGACAGTGATTCAAAGGTAACTCTAAGAATGGAGCACGGAGAGGCTGAAGGAGGCATCGCCCCCTCACAAGCCACCCCCAGTCTGCCCTTCCCCTGAGGAGACAGACTTTCTTTGGTTCTAAAAGTATATCCCTGTGCTTATATGTACAGACATACAGACACCCGCACAGACACGTACATACACACCCTGTATACCTTTTCACATCCAGCTTCCTAGACCCCCACGTCTGACCAGGTCCCAGTCAGATTCTTCTCCAAAGTATATCTTAAATACACAGAAAGAGAAGTCAAAGTGTTCGAGATTCGTTTATCCAGCAAATACTTAGTGAGCCAGAATGATGAGTCGCTCCGTACCAGGTGCTGGGGACACAACCGTGGGTCAGGCCCAGTTCCTCCTCTCGGGCTTCTTGTGTCCAAAGGAGGAGACGTGTAGAAAACAGTCAGCTGCAATGTTGAAAATGGTGTTGGGCGAAATGCATCTAGGGGGTTTTGGAGGAAGGGAGTGGTAGACCCTCTGTCTGTTGGTTTTGCTTCTCTGCCTTTGAGCTATAGTGCTGTCCACTGACCCTCTCTCCTGTCGGTAGGGCCTCTTCCGAGTAGCTCCGTCTGCCTCCAAGCTGAAGAAGCTGAAAGCTGCGCTGGACTGCTGTGTGGTGGATGTGCAGGAGTACTCCGCGGACCCCCATGCAATTGCAGGTGGGTGCCCACACCTCTTAGCAAGGGACTGTCTTGTGCTCTAGAGGCTCACGGCGGAGGGGTGAGCATGGAGGGTGTGTGGCCAAATTCAGGGACAATTGAACAGGTGGCTTCCCAACATGCTTCAGATGTGTCCACTCAGGGCCCAGTTTTAGGCCTGGTGGCTATGGCCCCTTGAAGGAAGACTTTGCCAGCGTGCCAAGAGAAGATGAAGTGATAGTGGCAAATAAGAGGGAGGAGGCCAATACGATTGTCAGTACAGGTCCCACTGCCATGCCAGGGCCTTGGCTCCATTCTTGTGGGAGGCCACCATTTGATGTTGTCATGTTTATGAGGGAGACCATCCCCAAAAGAACCGACATGGGAGATGCTGCCTGGTGGGACTTGTCTCTGCCATGTCATGACAGCTCACAGCCAATATTGTATTCATGCCCAGGAGCTTTGAAATCTTACCTCCGAGAGTTGCCAGAACCTCTTATGACCTTTGAACTCTATGACGAGTGGATTCAGGCTTCCAAGTGAGTACACCACGTTTTGGAGTGTCTTGTGAGTTGGAGTTTATTTGGAGGTATTTATTGAAATTATGGAAGTGTGTACCTATGATCTAGCAACTCCATTTCTTGGTATCTATCGTAGAGAAATCTTATACATGTGTCCAAAGAGGCAGATACTAGGACGGTGATGCCAGCATTATTTGGAAAAGTAAAAGCCTAAAATTTGTTAAATGTTCATCGGTGGGAGATGTGGGGAGCAGCTAAATAAACTATGGTATATCTATACCGTGACATACTCTGCAGCTGTTAAAAAAAATAGGTAGAGCTATTCATGCTAACGTGGAAAGGTATGAAGATTTATTGTTGAGTGAAACAAAGCAAGGTAACCAGGATGCATAATGATATTCTGTGTTTGTAAAAAGAAAAAAAACACCCAACACACTCAAAACAATACAGTTTTAAGACCGGCCCTGTATATGTGTAAATGCATAAAAGAAGGTTCTGGAAGGGCTCACACAGGCTGATGGTAGTGATTCCTTCTGGGGAAAAGAATAGGACAAGGGAGGGGTCACAGGGTCTATTACACTTAGCTGTAATAGTTAAAAATATTTTAACAACAACTAATTAGTAACTAACATAAAAACTTAACATCTGGGCCATGGACACGATTCCAACCTCTTGAAAATGAGCCTGAGGGAGAGGGACTCAGCCAGGAGGCGAGAGGAGCAGGGCCCAAGACTAGTCATGTGTCGGGAAGATGGGGACTATGGACAGCAGGGGGTCTGGTCACAGCAGGTGAGGCCACAGCTGTGTAATCTATTGTGACTCTGAAGCGTGGTTTTCTTTGGTGATCCCTGGCTTCTTTCCTTTCTTGATGCATGCATTAGGATGGTATTATATATTCTCTTTGGCCATGAGTAAGAGCTGTCTTAAGTAAATCCTATTGCTTGAAGAATCCATTTTTGCCGAATAAATGGCCTTGGCTGGTGAGGAAACACCAGAGAGAGGGTGGTAGAGACGAGGGTAGAGATGGCCCAGGAGGAAGAAGAAGGTTTTATGAGAGCAGGACTGGAGCAAACAGCCACCTCAGCTAGGCGCCTCTGGAAGGACATGATTCCTAGAGATGTCTAGCTGAAGATTTAATCCTAAAGAGGAGCCAGCTAGCCCATCAGAAAGAACACTGGATTGTGTATCTGCTTCTTCAAGAACTGTTGGGGCTGAAAGAGAAGCAGCTGGCCTGGAAGTGAAACCAGGTTAGTATGTGTCGAGTTAGAGAAAGCTAGCTCCAGTCAAGTTGTATAATGCTCTTTTATTTTTCCAGAGTAGAAGAGAGATTATGCATTTAAAAGGCTGGCTGAATGCATGGTGTCCTTATATCTCAGTGTGGAGAGTGAGTGTTGAGTTCCATGACGACATTATGAATCCTAAGTGATACCATTTGTCGAGTGTTTATTGGAGACTTGGCATGTTCTAAGCTCATTGCATGGTTTTAACTCATCTCATTTCACAACAACACTATGAAGTGGGTTGTGCTGTGTCCCCCATTTGACAGGTGAGGAAGTTGGGTCGTAGAACAGGTATGTAGTGGCAGGTTACTTGCCATCTGATAAATGACAGAATGAGGACTTGAATCCAAGGAGTCTGGTTCCAGAACCCATGCACTTAACAGTACCTTATGCCTCTCTAGAACACACTGCGGTCCTAGGGAGCAAGATAGGTGAGAACATGTCCTTTGATGGAAACCGTCCCTTTTATTTACTGCATATATAAGTGACCTTGATGATATAAAACTGGAGAAAGGGAAGACAGCCCTGTGCTTCAGGCTCTATCTGACAGACGCTCCTCCCACCTCGTTTGCAAAGGTGGGTCTGCATTAGGAAATTGGAATGATCCTGATGCCTCAAAGACCTCAGTGTCTTTGAAAAAGGAAAAGCAGGGACTTATTTCTGCCCCCTGGAGGATGTGCTTATCGTGCCTAAAGACTCCAGGAATGATGGTGGCTGTCATTAAGGTCACAACCTCTAAAGAAAGTAGTTTTGCCTAGAACAGCCATGTCCAACTCTCTGTATGCATCAGTCTACTGGGAAGCTTTTAAGAGATACCAATGCTTGGACTTTGTTTTTCAGGGATTCTGATTTAATTGGTCTGGGCTCTTTGTTTCAAAGCCCCCAAGGCTATTGAGTTGATAAGCGTTGACCTTTGATGTAGCTGAATCTCACCAAAGAGCCACACTAACCCTAACAGGGGCTTGTGCTTCAGGCAGACTCTGCAGGACACAGCCAGGTCTGCCATGGGATGGGGCATCCAGGACTCCGAGGTGGAGCCAGGGTAACAGCAAGGTCTAAAGTGAGGGTTTGCCAGGACAGCGCACGATGGCCTGAAACTTGAAGAGCACGTCTTTGCGAGCCACATGAATTAAATGATTCCATACTAGAGTCATGCAGGATAGAGGTTCAGAATAGGCGAGAAGCCGAGAGATGCCTGTGAAGGGAGGCCGGAAGGACTGAGGCTCCAGTCAATCCTAGGACACCTTGCGCAGGATGGAAGTGCCCTCACCTTCGCACTGGCTAGTCCCTCTGATGCAACTGTTCCCCCAAACCTTTGACTGGTGGCTCCTTCTGATTATTTGGGTCCCATCTTAAAAAGAGCCTCAGAGAGACCTTCCTGACAAGCCAGAAAGGGTAAAGAGCTGGCAGTCAGGATCTGTGCCATCCCCTGTGTTCATTTTCTGCATAGAACTGATTGCTGGTTCACAGCTGTGTTCGTGTACCTGATTAGGTTGTCAGCTTTGAGAGCAATGACCTCTTTTTGCTTACCACTTCCCAGCCCTTAGGACAGTGCCCTCACACAGTGGTTGTTGATTTTTATTGAACGAAAGGCCTTGGCAGCATCTCCCCTTTCACCTTAGAAAGGACTGAGAAGTGGAAGAGGGAGTGCCATAGGAGGTGCCTCGGTGGAGGTGAAAGTAGTGGCAGCAGCAACGGCCGACATTGCTTGAGAGCTTTCAAGGAACCAGATGCTCCGCTGAGCACTTGGTACAGAGTCTCCGCTCACAGTGACTCTAGGGGAAGTACTGTTACTATGCATTTTACAGATGAGGAAAGTGAGGTTCAAAGAGATTAAATAATCGGCACAAGATCACAGGCAGGATGGAGCTGGGTCTTCATGGCCGCCCTACATAAAATCCCCTTTGTCCAACCTTTGGTCAATTTATGACCACTTAACAAATATGGTCTGTTATCTTTCCATTTCTAAATGGGACATTTGATTTTTACATCAGTTTCCTAGTGAAAGTTTGTTTTGGGGAATGCTTACTTCTTCCTCAAGGCTCAACTGAGGGAAAAGGGAATTTTTCTTGTCTTGGTCCGGGTCTGCTTTAAATAATATCTGTTGAACTAGACAATCGGCTGCCAGCATGGCGTGGAAGTGAGTTGAGCTCCCTGACTGGCATGCTGTCTCCTGGTTTCTGTGCCACAGTCTCCCTCCTGACAACCCGTGGCCCTGCCTACTCCGGAGCAGGTGTCTGGCCTCTGCTCTCCTGCCCACACCTGCCACCCTGGCATGCATTCACCTGGGCCATGGGACATGCGCAGGGGAAGTTTTGTTAAAATAGCACAGGACAAGACAGACAGAGAACATAGAGGGCAAATAATAATAACCAAACGTTTGAATAATTATAGCTTGCTGATATGGTCAGGCACGATCATTGGCTCCTCATTCTCAAATATTGCAATGACTCCTTACTATGATTGCCAGTGAGACTTGAGTGATTCATGCTTAATCAGTGGCTTTTCCTATTAATTTCCCAGTATCCAGGAGCAAGACAAGAGGCTTCAGGCTCTGTGGAATGCTTGTGAAAAATTGCCCAAGGCCAATCACAACAACATCCGGTAAGTGGGTACTGCAGACGCTCGGTGGGGTGGTGTAAGCCTCGGGCACACAGTTTTCTGGCTACAGGTCATGATAACTAGCATGCACCACAGTTTATGGCATCCAAAGCATTGTCAACATGCATGGTCTGTTTTCAACCTCAGACAACTCTGTGAGGTTGTTAATTACCATTTTGCAGATGAGGAAACAGACTGACAGGAGCTATGTGACTGTGGAGGCCATTGGCTAAGTCAGTTAAGTTCTTTGATTTGCAAGGAGCAAAGATTAACGCAAGCTGTTTTGAGATATTGGGGGCTTACTGTAAAGATAGGTGTGCATGGACACCTGGGAGAAGCTGACCAAACCTGGAGCTGGGGTTGGCAGGTGTGTCCTTGAGCTAACCTGCGGGAAGAGAGGCCAGGAGAACATTCTCCAGCACCCCGCCATTCACCAGCTATTTTCCGCATTTCTCTCTCTCACTTTTCTTGCTACCCCGAGGACTTTACTTCCCGCTGCTCTGCAGATCTTTTCTCTACCCCAGCTTCTGCTCTTCACACTTTCTGCTTCCTCATCACTTTGTCTTGCCAGCACTGCTCCTGGCCCTGCCACCTCTTCTCGGTGCTTCTTTAGATGCAGATTTTCAGCCTCAGCTCCTGCTGTCATCTGCCTGATTATTTCTGTTTTCCTGGTAAAAATCCCAAGGGTGACAGTGTGCCAGATCCTCAAAAATTAAATGTAGGATTACCATATGATCCAGCATCTCCACTTCTGGGTACATAGATGCCCAAAAGATTTGGAAGCAGGGACTTGCTACCTGTACACTAATGTTCATAGCAGCATTGTCCATAATAGCCAAGAGGTGGAACCAGCCCAAATGTCCACCTATTTATGATAAGCAAAAGATAGATACAGGGCAATATTCAGCCTTAAAAAGGGAGGAATTTCTGATTCTTGCAACAACATGAAAGAACCTTGAAGATGTTATGCTAGATGAAAGAAGCCTGATACAAAAAGACAAATACTGTATGATTCCACTTAGCTGAGGTCCCTGGAGCAGACAAATCCATAGAGTCAGAAAGGAGAAGAGTGGGTGCCAGCGGCTGTGGGGAGTGGGGCATGGAGTCGGGGGGAAGTTATTATTTAAAGGACATAGAGTTTCAGTTTGAGGTGATAAAAAAATTCTGGAGATGGATAGTGGTGATTGTTGCATAACAATGAAAAGTACTCAATGCTAGTGAACTGTGCACTTAAAAATGGTTAAAAGGGTAAATTTTATATTTTACCACAATTTTAAAAAAATTCAAAAAGTGACAATCAGATCAGTATAACTCATAACGAGTTGCTCACTGCAACCCGAGGCTGCTGGCCAGCTGTGGAGTGACCGTTCTCAGCTTTGGTCCCACATCCTGGTCCAGGCGTGTGGCCTCTTGGAGAGTGTGACATGGTCAAAAGAGGAGGTGGGTGGAGTTGGCACAGTGACAGCTTAGGGGCCACGCGGTTGGACCCTGCGTCTGCTGGCCTTTCTTCTAGGCTGACAGAAGGTGAGTAAACACTTCCTGAGGGGCAGCTTCACTGTGATCCAAGCAAAATGGGGTAAGAACTACCGCCTTTTGTAACTGAGAGTTCAGGAGAAGGCATGTGCCCCTGGGGTCCGGGGCCTCTTGTCAGAGCCTGGCAGATGTTTAGTATGGTTTGCCAGAGCTGTTTTCGTGTTTCTTTCATACATAGCTTCCTTGAAATATAATTCCTATACCACTGTACCCTTTTACAGTGTGCAATTTAGTGTTTTTTTGGTGTATTTATAGAGTTGTGCAGATATCACTACTATTTAATTTTGGACCATTTCATCACCCCCAGAAGAAGCCCTGTTCCCATTAGCAGTCACTCCCCATTTCCCCCAACCCAGCCCCTGGCAAACGCTAATCTACTTTCTGTCTCTGTCTCTATAGATTTGGCTGTGCTGGACACTTCATATAGATGCAATCATGTGACATGCGGCCTTTTGTGGCTGGCTTCTTTCACTGAGCTTGATGTTTTCAAGGTTCATCCATGTGGTAGCATGTGTCAGTACTTCATTCCTTTTTATGGCTGAAGGGTATTCCATTGTGTGGATGGAGTTCTTTTAGTCCATTTATCTGTTCACCCCTTGATGGACATTTGGGTGGTCTCCACTTTTGGGCTGTATGAATAATGCTGCTGTGAATGTTGGTGTACCAGTTTATGTGTGGACATATTTCTCTTGGGTATATCTCTAGGAGTGGAATTGCTGGGTCACCTGCTAAGCCTACGTTTCGCTTTTTCTTGGCTGGCTCTCAAAGCCCCACTAAGACTAATCCCAGGGACACCACCCCTAGCATGTAGACATCCTGCTGATGACACCTAGATGCTTTACTTTTCACCTCTGCACACAGGGAGGATGGCAAGTGACAGGGGTTTGAAAAGAAGGAGGAACTTGAGGTCATTATATACTGAGTCAAAAGGAAAGATGAAGAATTATTCTGGCCAGGGTTTATGAAGCAGATGTGGACACTAGCCAGGTGAGATCTGAGTCTGTTTCTGGAGCATTCTCCTGCCCTCCTGACACATGATACGTCTTCATCATATTGCAGGATGCATGAGTCTCTTTGTCAGGAAGATGTGCTACACGAGAGAAGTTTCTCTCCAGAGCCGGGGGAACATGGCTGGTGTTGAACCCTAGTTAAACTTGGCCCTTCTAACTTCCTTGCAGATACTTGATCAAATTTTTATCCAAGCTGTCAGAATATCAAGATGTGAACAAGATGACTCCCAGTAACATGGCAATTGTGTTAGGACCCAACCTCCTATGGCCACAAGCGGAAGGGTGAGTACAGGGAGGAAGTAGCATATGGATAATGTATGGGGCCGCAGGGGCCTGGGTGGGATGACTAGGGCCCCAGATAGTCACCAGCCTCATTTATTTGTCATGTTTCTCTTTTGGCCTGCTCCTTTTTTAGGCTGAGGGGGAGGCCCAGAATTCTGCAGATTTTTCTCATTGATGGTCTCAGAGCTACAGGTCTGCAGGGAGGGTCTTTTCTGAGCTAACCTAGGTCAGCACCAGGCGAGGCAAGCTGGTTCAGGCCTCCTTACGCTCTGTGAAGAGCACGCATCCCAGCATCAGGACCCAGAGGGAGAGAGGGCTGTCTCGAAAGAGAGAACAGAGCTGGAAAGAGGATGAGGCTGACACTTATGAGAATCATACCTCAAGTTGAAAGGCACCTCATGCTTGGTGATTTTGCGTGTATTGCTCATTTACACGTCTCCTAGAAGGAGGACTTCTGCGGTTCTCTGCATTCTGTAGATGGAGAAAGAGAGATCAGAAAGGTGATGCCTCCTGCCCGAGAGAAAGCCTGCTGTCAGACCTAGGTCCACAGGCTTCCAGTCCAGGGCTCCTTCCTGTGCCATGGGCCCAGGGGCGCCTCTCATCTGGCCTCGGCTGGTCACCCTACCCTGCTTCCTCCACCCTGTGCTTGCAGGAACATCACGGAGATGATGACCACGGTTTCACTGCAGATCGTTGGGATCATTGAACCCATCATCCAGCATGCAGACTGGTTCTTCCCTGGGGGTATGTGGCGCCATCCAGGTGTGGGAGTGGGGGACTGGGGAAGAGCAGGTGTGTCACTGTGAGTTCTGTACCTTTAAAACCAAGTACTGCTGCTCAGAGGTATTGGTTTGTTTTGTTTTTAATCCCCCCACACATGCACGCATGCGTGCGTGCGCACACACTCACACACACACACACACACACACAAGTGCACTCAGTTATGGGGTGGGAGTCATGGCAGTTTCCTACTTTCTGGCCTGAAGGTGTCCACTGCCTGCACCAACCATGTCCATTGGGTTTTACTGATCTAACATCAACACCACGGTTTCTTTAAATCTATGAATCATGAAATGCTGGAGCAGAAAGGAAAGAGGGATTCTCTGCTTTACAGATGCAAAGGGAAGCTGAGACCCAAGATGAAGGGGACTTTTATTCAGGGTTTCTGGATCACCTGGGTGCCATCCTTTTCTTATTCTAAGCTGTGTCCTTCAAGCTTTCCTCAGCCTGTAAAGGTGGGGCTCAAAGACAGTGAGATTCTTTTTTCTACCTGGTTCAAAATTAGGCTCTAAAGTCAGCTCCTTAAGAGGGAGTTTCATCCATGCATAAGTATATGACTCTCAATGGTGGCAGCTTTGAAGAGACAGCAGTTGTTACACTAAATTCAGCATTCCCTTAAGAAAAAGGGGTACCATCCCTTCTGTTTAGTAAACATTAGGGGTATGCTTTCATCTGTGTGAAGCAAGCCATTAACTCATGTGAGGATAAAATGTTAATAATTCTCTGCTCTGTCCAACAGAGATAATCAACCAGTGCTGATCTGACATAAAAGAAGTTTGATTGTCTTTATTTTGTTTCACGTGTTTTGACTGTGAAAGCTCTGAACTGATAATCTCATAAGACTTCTATTGATGGCATAGAGCTCGCTGAGGGTAGGAAATGAGGATAAAGAAATAAAGGAGACAGGAGTCGAAGGCATAATTCCCTAAGTTCTGTGGAGGAGCTGACTCATTGCCATTGCAGATTAATAGGCTGTGACTAGGAAAGGAGGGGGTGAGTACCCCTGTGTATCCATCTGATGGCTATTAACCTGAGTAGCCTTAGTGAAATCTCTAGTTCTACTCCTTGTTAATTTTTTCTCTTTGGTTTTCCAGAAAGACCACATCATCATCTACAAATAATAATATGACCTCTTATTTTATTTTCTTGACTAATTTCATTGGCTCACACTTCTCCAATAGTTAAATAACAGTGGTGAGAGTGGGCCTTGCTCCTGTTCCTGATTTGATTAAGACTGTTCTGGTGTTTCCCTCTTAAATTTGAGGTTTGAGATAGATGATTTTGTCTTTTTCAGAAAGTACCCATCTGTTCCTGTTGAACTAAGTTTGTTTTTTAATCACAAATGGAAATTGCTTTATTAAATGCCCATCATATTACTGTGATAGGTGAGCCCTTGTGTTCACCTATTAATATGATGAATTATATTAAGATGAAGTAATATCAGTAGATGGCCCAATGTTGAACAATGGGACAAACGCCCCTAGGGTTGCAGTGCAACGAGAGGCCCTCTCTGCTCCTCTCTCTCCTGCCCAAGAAGGGCATGACAGACCTGTAGATTGTGTACACCCATTCTTTCTTCCCCACAGACATAGAGTTCAACATCACAGGGAATTATGGGAGTCCAGTCCATGTGAACCACAACGCCAACTACAGTTCAATGCCCTCTCCAGACATGGACCCCGCTGACCGGCGCCAGCCAGAGCAGGCCCGCCGGCCCCTCAGCGTTGCCACGGATAACATGATGCTGGAGTTTTACAAAAAGGATGGGTATGAACTAGTGTCCCTTTCTCAGTGTTGGGAATTGGAGGAGGGGGCGGTTGGGATGGGTTGACAGGAAGGCTGCCCTTGTTTAGCAGTGGTTTAAATGACTTGTAGCAGTTAAACCGTTACCTCGTTCTCACTGCTTTCATCTGTGCTGTTTGGGATGAGTCTCTGGGCTGCTTCCCTTCCTTTGGGCCAGAGGTAAGTGCAGCCTTCTGAACCGACAGTTGTGATTAGTGTTGATTAGATCTCATCAAAAGAAAAAAAAGTCGGGCAACAAGGGGAATTAAAATATATATATATATATATAAACACTTTATTTTGACTCAGAGTTTATAAATGTGTGTTAATTCTCAAATGGGTAATGGTTTTACTTTGATGATGGGCCTGCTCATTTGCATTCCTCAGCAATATTCTTGCATTAAAAATACCTTGAATGTATAGTTTAATATTCCCAGTTTTAGTCTCCTTAAAACAGAGAGAAAACCTAAAACTTAAAGCAGTCTGAGTGTAGAATCCTTGTAAGTTTATGAGATCTTTTTCCTGTCCTTTATGATTGACACCTGCACCAACTTGGATGCAGTTGTTAGGAGACTCATAAATGCATTCAACTTAATTTGCATAGCAGTGACCCTCTCACACTCATATTAAATTAGTTTGCATAATATGATTCCCAAAACAAGTAAAATGGGCATAAACAGGTTTTATAATGAGCACAGCTGATTCATGGTAAGCATCAGCTCAGCTATGGGAACCAAAATGTGTGGACTTTTGAGTGTTCAGCAAGCTGAAGGCATCAGCTAATATGTCTTACAGAAGGAACGGATTGCATTGCTTGGTCAAGCAAGTCAACTGAGTGAACTTTGGTTGGGAATTAAAAATTACTACTATAAAATAAAATTTAGCAACCACTCCTTCAAAATAGATAGGAGCCGGGCCAGCCTTGTGGTGTAGTGGGTGGATTCAGCACACTCCGCTTCAGTGACTCAGGTTCTCGGGTTTAGATCCCAGGCGCTACCCTACATCACTTGTCAGCCATGCTGTGGTGGCGACCCACATACAAAATAGAGGAAGATTGGCACAGATGTTAGTTTAGGGCGAATCTTCCTCAGCAAAAACAAACAAGCAAAAAAAAGAGCATAAAGCACCAAATGGGAATGTCAGAAATTCAGACAGTAGGAAGTACAGTAACTACAACCTTCTGCTTCCCTGTCAGACCAGTAGGCAACTAGGAAGATCTGTTTGTTTGAGAGGCATATGGCCTAAAGGGCTTCAAATGGAAGGCTGAAAACCAAGTACTGTAGAGGTGTGAGTCTTACTTTTCACCTCTTCTTTTCTGAGTGGAGTTGGCCTTGAGACATACATCTCTGTCCTGTGATGATGGAGGAGTATTCAGAAGGGCCAGCATCCCTGCTTGTTACCTTACCCACCAGAGACCCTTTATGTGTAAGGTGGGTGGGATTGTTTATCTGCTCTCTGCTGTTTGTTATTCTCCATCAGATGGGGAAAGAAAAACTGGAAATTCTTAGATATTGAAGGGATTAGGGGAAAATTTCTTAAATCTGTTAAAAAGAGCATACCTAGATCTGATCTTTGCATCATGTGAGAGAGAGTCAGAAAGACAGAGATGGAGACAGAGAGAGACAAAGATACAGAGAGAGACAGCAAGTGCATGGCAGTTTGTTTTTAAAACTTTGTTTAGGGGCCAGCTCCGTGGCCGAGTGGTTAAGTTTGCGCCCTCCGCTGCGGCGGCCCAGGGTTCGGATCCTGGGCGTGGACATGGCACCGCTCGTCAGGCCACGTTGAGGCGGTGTCCCATATCCCACAACTAGAAGGACATGCAACTAAGATATACAACTGTGTACATGGGGTTTGGGGGACATTAGGCAGGAAAAAAAAAAAAAAGATTGGCAACAGTTGTTAGCCCAGGTGCCAATCTTTGAAAAAAAAAAAACAACTTTGTTTAAGCCACTCAGTTCCTTTGTGAAGTCTCTCTAGCAGAGGGAAGGCCCCAGAGGGCCCCCTTTGGTCCCAGGTGTTCCTGCAGCAGAGGCGTGTGCCTCCATCCTCCCTGCTGGACCTCATCGGACTCCCGTTACCCTCCAAAAAGCAATCCAGATGACCTCTAAGAGACAGTGACCGCTGTGGGATCTCGGGACATTCAAAGTCCGCTGGCCCACATAGTATTCAGGCAGATGCAGAAGCTTAAAAGATGATGTTTTAAGTAGGTGCCTCATCTCTGATCAAGTTCTCTCTCTCGCTCAGAACTTTGTAAATGATGTGCCCGTTCTGCATAGTGTTCTGATTTAAAGCTGAAACTGCCACCGTGTACTTTCAGGATACAGAAGATGCACTACATAAATAATTGTTGCCCATGAAATGAATACATGTTATGTATAACTTTGTATTAAACATTAAATTAAGTGGAGGGCTTACTGGTTTAGGGTCACCCTCGCTGAGTTGTCTGGGGCGTCAGCACATATGTTTTAAGGTACAGGGAGCTTGTCAATGATCAGTTCTTAACTGGCTTTAAGAGAAACCGAAACGTCAAGTTGTGAGTAAGTGTTTTGTGGGAGAGGAAAGGAACTTGCATCAGCTGAGTCCCTGTGTTATTTTTGCAGTATTAGGGCTATTCTCCACATTTGTCCCCATTTCTGAACACTTAAAGTCTATAAGATGCATTTCATAGTCTTCTAACCACCACTTGAAACACTGACAAATTAAAGCTCACTTTATTGAAGTTTTTTGGTCAGGTTAAAAAAGAATATCATCAATTATATGTCAATAAAGCCGTTACTTTTAAAAAAAGGAAATTGGGGGAAGAAAAATTGCATAACATTTGAAAGAAATGGTAAGTTCCCCATCCGTGCCAGTGACATTTTCCTGAGCTGAAGCCAGTCATGTCCTAGATATCATACAAAGCAGTTTACTCCCATCCCAGCTCCTGGCTTTGGTCTTGATGTGTTTCTGAGTCATGAGGACACAAGAAACTGACTTTCTTTGGCAAGTCCTGGGGTCAGATTTGGGAGCTCACATATACATTTTTCATGTCTGTGGTAGGCACGATACTGACCCCCCAAAGATATCAGGTCCTAAGCCTGGAACCTGTAGATATCACCTTATTTGGGAAAAGGGTCTTTGCAGATGTGATTAAAATGAGGATCTTGAAATAAGGAGATTACTCTGGATTATCAGAATGGGCCCTAAATGCAATCACATGTGTCCTAAGACGGTGGCAGAGGGAGATCTGACATATACACACAGAGAAGGAGAGACATGAAGATGGAGCAGAGAGATTTGAAGATATGGCCAAGAGAGATTGGAAGATGTGGCTGCAAGCCAAGGAATGCCAACAGCGCCCAGGAGCTGGAAGAGACCAGGAACAGATTCTCCCTGGAGCCTCTGGAGGGAGCGCAGCCCTGCTGACCCCTTGATCTCAGCCCAGTGAGACTGAGTTTGGACCTCTGGCCCCCAGAACTGTGGGAGAATAAATTTCTGTTGTTACAGTAGCCACCAGAAAGTAATACATCCCTCCCCTGTAGCTACACACCAGGAGCTTCATGGTAAAGATGGCAACAGGTGCTCTGATCCTCCTCCCAGTGAGGATTGAAATCTAATTGTCCTCCCTTTGACTCTGAGTTGGCCTCTGTGACTTAACGAACACAGTGTGGTGGAAGTGATGTTCTGGAACTTCCGAAGCTAGGTTAGAAAAAGCGTTATTGATTACGCCTTGGTCTCTTGGAGTACTTGTTCTTGAAACTCAGCTACCTCACTGTGTGGGAGTACAAGCAGCCCCTTGGAGAGAAACTGAAGCCCCGAACCTTCATTCCCAGCCAAGCACCGAGCTGACAGCCAGCACCAACTTACCGGCTTTGTGAGGGAATCGTCTTGGAGCCTTCCAGGCCAACTCAAGCCACCTCAGCTAGTGCTGTGTAGGGTAGACAGCTGTCCCTGTCTAACTCTGCCAAAACTGTGCATTTGCAACCTAGATAAATAAGCTACTGAGTTTTGAGGGGGTTTGTTATGCGAAACAAGAGAGCTAGAACAAACTTTAAAAAAAGAATACTAGTGTCCTGCACCCCCCAGCCCCCACTCCTCCAGTCTGATTTAACTGGCCTGGGCTGGGATTCAGGCCCTGGTATTTTTTAAAAGTGTCTCAGATGATTCTAATGTGCATCTAGGGTTGAGAACCACTGAATCACAAAAATTTTTGCCATTCTGAATAAAGAATTTGGCAATGATACCATTCTTAAAAATTTATCAGAACTTTCCTACTTTAGCCATCGAATGTTGGTGTGACATGCAGACCGTCCTAACCCTGCCAACGCTCTGAGTGACAGTATTGAGTAGGTCACGCTAGGGCTGTCTGCACTTTCCTAAGCTCCCGCTTAGAAATTTTAGGGTGCAGGTTGGTATGTATTTTTAACGTCTTGTTTGTATTGTTTTTTGTTTGTTTATTTGTTTTATAGAATAGTGATATTTGTTTCTTGGTTCATTCTTTTCAAATAATAAATTAAAGTAACCTTGCAAATCCCTTCTATTTTTTTGACATTGGCAGAAGTATTATCCCTGGTCATGTAAAATACTTTATATGGAAGACTTACTGCCTCCAAAAAAGTTGGCCAAGATGTCTATACTTTCTTGCCCATTGGTCAAGATGGATCCACAGACCCTAAGCATTTGTCAGATGTGTCCATTGGCTGCGTCCCCTGCACAATCTGAACAAACTCAGCTGGGATCGTTGAGGGGCCCATGGAAAAGCAGAGAGGCAGGAACAGAAATGACATCAGCGATGAAGCCTCCTTCCTAGCTTCACTTCTCTACCCTGCTGATGGCTATCTTCCTCCCTCTTTCTACCGCTGCTTCCACTCCCGCCCTTTGCCAGCCTCAGACTTCAGACAGACCTCGCCAGTCCTGCCCCTGCCCCCGCCTTACACACCGTTTCCTTGATGCCCGCTTTCCCCGCTGCCTGTTTGCTTCCATCTGCATCTGGCCCATGCTCTCTA